AGAGCAAGAAATCATACAGACATCGATAGATAAAATTTTGCATCTGTGGAAGACACTCTGGAAATTTTCTCCACAGTCACAAAACAACACTGTATTTCTGTGCGTAGTTTTGAATATTGTCGCTGTATTTTTGTTCGACATAATATAAAATAGGGAAAATTACCATCAGATTAGTATTGATACATCACAACAGTAAAACCGGAATTGGAGTAATATGTAAAAACAACTTCAAAACATTAACGTTGATATACATGACAGAGTTACTCCCCGTCAACCTGAAGACAGCATAATAAGTAGAAAAAATGTAAGAGAAAATGCAATGCATCGATCAGAACACACATTCAATGTAAATTATTATAAAAAAATATATTACTAAAACATAAAAGCGTATTCTTGAAATGATACTGTGTATAAAATGTTTAGATTTAAAACGTGAAACAAAATTATACCGTAATTGTGCAAAAAACTCAGAAATTAGCCCATAAAATAATACAAGTCGTGACAACCATTTGTCAACATTGGAAATATCCTAATAATGTGAGATATATCAGGTTTCATATACATTACTTTTAAATATATATATATAAGCTTTAGGCGTTTTTTTAACATTTAAATAATTCAGTTTCCATGAAGGGGGTTAATAAATAAAGACGTGTACGTTAAGCGAAATAGTTTATGCAATATTATAGAATATATATATATATGATATTGATTTATAATAGTTGGACTATCTACATACCGAAGTGCAAATATAATCGTAATCTTAACTCGAAATCGATAAAAGACAGCACAAAATATATCAAAGAAATATGTACAAAAGGTTAAGATCTGGTATTCCGGATGTATAATCGTCTTTTGCTTCATCGACGAAAACCGCCAAGTAAATCTAGATCAAGTCCAAGTAATGGCAGGTTCTCAAAGACAGAGCCGAGGCTGTGACAGCAAAACCGTAAACGTCGCCAAATACCGTACAAGGAAATAAGTAGAATATTTCCAAGAGATCATATTGGTGACCATTAATATTGCCGATAGTCTCGTCAACCTACACCGCTGGAAACACTGTGCTGTATATTGGTCAGAATTCCACATCTATTAGAGAATCGTGATGTTCGGAGCAAGCCCAGGAGTATTGTATTAATTGCATCATGTAAACACCGTAGGTTGGAGCAGCAGGGATGTTATCAGTAAAAAAGGGAAAGTTCACGATCGAAAAAACGAAATTGCCACGTTTATTATGTGGCTACTCTCTGAAATTCATTGAATTCCATTACCCATGCGAGTTTGTACTGAATATTATTTTGCTTGAAGTCCAAAGTGTATTGACGACTATAGTAAATATAACTACGCTGATTACTTTAGACGCACAAGAAGTCCTTTAGTTTGGCTTACTCTTCATTTCATTGTCACCTAAATAAAAGTTATTCGAACGTTCCCTTTATATACATGTATATACTTATATAAGTAGCCGTACTGAGTTTTTTGTTTATCCGACAATATTTGTGACACATAACACAATTTACTATTTTGAAGGCAAACTTAACCCTATCCTACCACAATAAATCACATCATTCTACATGATACACAGATAAATAAAACAACAAGATAATTGCGAAGAATCAGCAAAACCGCAGTTCGAACTTAAAGTGGATAAAATAAGGGCAAACAAAATATGTACAAATGAAAGATTTACATTGAGACTATTGAAAATGTACTGGGAAATGAGACCAGAATTCTTTGTCTTCTGCCGCCTAGCTGATACCCGCAATGAAAACTTAGCAATCCAAGTAAAGACACGTCCTCAACGCGGGAACCGGGGTAGCGATAACGAAACAAGGAACACTAATGATCGCAATCAACAGGGTTGACCTCCATATCAGACATGGAAATATCATAGTTTCCAATTAGATTATGATGGCAACTGTAAAGTTGTTAATACTCTTAACCAACCTGTCTCTCTTGAAACCCAGCATTGTTAGTTTGTCCGTCAGCAGTCGACATCTAGCACGGAAGTCATGATATTCGGAGCAGGATCTTCAATACCGAATCATCTGTGACATTTAAACACAGTGTTTTGGAAAGCACGGGTGATATTCTACAGAAAGGGAAAGTTAACGATCGGAAAATCGAAATCGTCACGCCCATCGTACAGATTAGTAATACGTCGTCCCTGTAGTGACAATCCGAGAGGGTATAAACGATAGACGTGGTCAGTAGATGTATATTTGTTTATGGACAGGATATCGTCGATATATCTGAAACTGAAATTGAAGGATTTCGCAAGGTTTTTGTCATCAGTCCTGATGAACTTTTAAATAAGTTCTGCCTGACATGAACACAAAATACATTCGGCCGCAAAGGGAGCACAGTTTGTTCCAATATGAATGCTTCAGTCTGCTGGGAAATCTTGCCACCAAACTCAATAAAGATATTACCAACCATCCTAAGCATACCTCATTTTGGCCTTTGTCGTGATTTTCTCAAAATATGCTCCAAAACAGTTGACCACAATGGATGTATATCGCCGTTCACCTATCTTGGAAAAGAAAATTTCTTATAATAAGAGAACGAAATTCATACAAATTGGTATAAGGTATGGCAATGTACAGAGTGGAAGAGTCGAATTTGAGATAGAAGACATATTATTGAAGTGAGAATGTTGAAGATTGATCATTGAACCCATGCCTAAGATACACCGACGTGTATTTCACAAGCTGAACCCCGGTCTACAACACTACATATCACCATCCCTCCTATTCTACGGCAATGAAAAGTACAATAAAACGTTCTATTTATTTGGTTATGTGCAACTAGTTATATATTTAATGTACCATATATATATATATTGTCAACAATCAATTACGGATCGACTTGACATTTATAATAAATATATATATATACTGTATGAACAGACTATGAACACAGAAACAAATCGGGATGTTACATAGTTGGTAACATTAATTAACATTAAATAAATACAAAATTAACCAATGCACACGCTGTTCACACTACACAACAGTTTATTCTAACTTGTTCACATTAATTTCGTTTACGTGTGACCGCCACTTTTTTGTATGTGTCATAATAAATGAACGTAGATTTGGACGCATAACTTGAAATCAATAACGAAAGGTACACTCGATCGGCATAACGTTACATTTATGAAAAAACATGCATCACTGCTTTGTTTTGATGTTACATTGTGCAAACACTTTAAAGAATATATAAGACAATCCATGTGTATTTACTAAGAAGACGTCAATAGTTTACAGTAAAGCAATGATTTCTTAGCAAATATTGTACAGAACCCATATCGTAAGTAGGTTTCTACGTCGATAACACCACCTTACAGGGTAAGGGAGATCACTTAATACTCTACAGCAGTACTCGAACGATGCACACACAACGATAAGTTGTCAGTCAGTACCTATTGATCTGGAAGACACCGCTAGTGTGACCACTAAGTAGTATTTGAAGGTTGGATGGATTAAACGATTTGAACAAAATTCATATACCATGAAGCAGGGAGTTTTCCAAATTGACATTTTTGCATTCCGTACGTCGCCCGTCGTATTCCACAACTGAAGCTTTTGTAGTATAAAACAGTTCTTATATTCTTCCATTTTCAGATTGTCCTTATTTTCACTGAAGTCGTACAATAGAAAGTATGGGGGACGAGGCCGGAGGATCGAAAGCGCAAAACTAAATATACTCCTATGGAACAGAGACGTAATATACGTCTAACACATGTGTTATATACGTCTCTGTGTGGAAGCAATGTTGAAATCTTGAAGGCTACTTGTAATCTCTCTAGTGCGATTTGTATGGAACGCATAATTAACATATATTCAAATAATTGCACCTATCTTGAAATAATTGAAGATGGGTGCAATTCAATTGAAGATAGGTACAATTTATTTATAGATAGGTTCAAATATGACGAATTAACCATATTTTCAATTGAATTAACCTATCTTAATTAACATATATTCCAATTAATTGTGCCTATCTTCAAATAATTTCAAATAATTGACGATAGGAACATTTAATTGAAGATATGTCTAATTTAATTAAAGATCGGTTTAATTTGATTAGAGATTGGCTCAGTTCAATAGAAGATATGTTGTATTTGTACCTATAGGTTCATTTCAATTGAAGATAGGTTCAATTATATGTTAATTTGGCGTTCCGTTGATATGAGGCAGTTCAGCTTTATGAAATTTTACGTCATTTTAATATAAAGTTTAAACTTTTGAATAATTAGTCTTCAAAAATATATACTGGAAACTGGAAACAGTGAGCTTCATTCATTGGACATCATCGAACATGATAAGAAAGTATTGCGAGCGCTGCATGGCGGTTTTTCATCTAGACCTTTCAAACAATATTCCAGATGTCCCTAAAAAGGTCTGACTCACGAATGTAGTAATATATATACTTTGTAAAATGTGTATTGATAATCCTAATATGATGCGTACGCCAACTCAGTAATGTAAAAACAGGTATAACTTAGAGGTTTACTAATGAGTGTTTTGAGGATTTTTTTTTAAATAACTTAATTGGATTTTCCTTTTTACCTTCTGTTACTTACTTTGCATAATAAACACCCACAATTATCTCTGAAATTAATGTAAGTATTTGAATAGTTTTTACAATCTGTTATTTTACATACAAGAACACCTAATCATGGTTTCTGAAATTAATATAATTATGCTTATTTGTAGGCCTAGAGCATAGCACGGGATTTCTTTTGTGGGGTTGACAAACTATCCTATAATTGCCCCTGTTCACTTGCCAGCTATTTCATATCAATTTCGACAAATGCCTAAGTCATGCGGTGTAGTGTTGTCATTTGCGAAACTCAAAAACATTTCAATCATCTTAAATACGCGTACGTGTATCGAAAAAAATGTCTTTGAAACGTTCCCGCGAGGTACGTTTGGAACTCCTCTACTAGATGCATAAAATTTGAAAATCCGAGTGTTTCCGTTCTGTTTCCAAAACGAGGCATTGTATTTGTAATTTTTCCTGTATTCTGTGTCGAGAAAGAAGTGGCTGGGTTTTACCCCACAGTTCTTCTGTATCAGAGACATTTAGCGTTGTAAGTAACAATTTATTTACAAGATTTATTGATAATGAAAAGTAAAATAATCAGATTACCACATAAACGGGTCATTACAGGAAAATATAACCCTACTTTGTCCTCTCACCTGGGTGAATGTGACTGAAAAGTTTACTGGATGTAGGTTTTTCTTTTGTGTTATTTTTAGATCAATAGTATGATTGGATTTATGCACATGTTACGGACAGAACTAAAGCTATTATCCTTTCATTTTCAGATGATGTCGAGAACGTGAACTTCAGAGAGAGAAGCTCGTACGCGAGGAAAGAAGGGACTTGTCCCGTTCCCACCCTATATGGGAGGAGGAATTGGGTCATGACCCTCTCGTCCAAAACAAGTCAACGATCGCCAAAACAAAGAACAACAGTATCTTATAGAGAAAAAACCCTGAAACAAGCCACAAGGATTAAAAGTTGAAGAAAAGAAAAAAACACGGCATAAAGCGTTTTGGCTGCCCCAACAATACCCATGGCGGACGTTGACCCAGAAACGCTATTAGAATGGCTGCAGATGGGACAGGGGGACGAGAGAGACATGCAGTTGATTGCACTGGAGCAACTCTGTATGCTGCTGTTGATGTCCGACAATGTGGACAGAGTATTTGAAAGGTAAATATCTTAATAAACTGTATTGATGGTATTAACTTGACAATGTTCAAGTGACTGTGTATTATAACTTTGCATGCAGGAGCAATGATGATCATGACCAGGTAACCAAGATCGTACAAGCATCAAATGTAATCACTGTATTTTCACACTTTCATTAGTTGTTCAAAACTTAAACAAATTTACCAACCGAAGGTGACATAGGTTTTCAAGTGTCACAGGCCCGAGCTTAAGGGGCATATGCTTTGTTGAAGAGGACAGAAAATATGTCATCAAACAGTCTACAGATAGATTGCTGTTAATCAGTTATAATCACAGTTGGTAAGATTGCTGCCCATCTATAACTTTCAGGTCTCAATCTAAAATCCTCGTTCGGCAGTTGCAATTTTCACACTTTTGTTACTTCTATTTAAAACATTTCATTGAAATTCATCCTCGATACTCTACAGAGAGTGTAAGTGAGTGTAACCCCAGGGGTGTCAAGGATTATTGATCATAGGATACACACTTATGGACATTTCAGATGTACATGGTTTTTAGTTAACTTTCGACATTAAGTAATTTCAGAAGCACAATAACTTTTTCCTTAGAACTTGGAGTGTCAAAACACATGTCAAGGAGACCTGTTATATTTTTTAGTGCTCTATAAAGTCCAAGAGTCAATGCTCATTTTGGGTGTTCAATGAAATAATAACATTAATACTCTTCATCTATGAAACTTCCTCCATCAATATTGACGACTACATAGTTTTGTAGTCTACTTAAAGTTTTATAGTCTACTTAAAGTTTTATAGTCTACTTAAAGTTTTATAGTCTACTTAAAGCTGTGGGATGAGTTCAGTTTAAGATGAGATCAGTTGAGTGCCTGGAAAAAAGCAAAAATTAAAAAAAGTATTTATAAACAACATAAAAGGAAAACATTGTCAAATTGTCAAGATGTTTGTTTGGGATTTGACGTCCTCGCCAAAGCCAGGGTCATATGAGGACATCAAGATGGATCCAGAAAGCAAGATATTGGATTTGGATGCCAGTCTTCATTATTAATATGCTGTTAAATATGTTGATATATTTTGATACAAAGTTTTTATGGTACTTTAGAATCGAAGTATAAACTGTTGTAATTATTTAAAAACTGATAGATAGATATTTTGACATGTTAAGCACTGTCAGATGTATGAAGCTGCCATGTACCTTTGTGCTTGATGTTTCATGTTTTAGATATGGTACTAGTTTCTATTAATTTGTGAAAGTGCTGGCCCCAGTAACATTTCATAAAACACTCCTTAACTTCAGGAAGTTTTAGTTTCATTTTTCTTATCCTGAAATGCTTTCAGTATTAAACAATATAAAAGTGAAAGAATTTCCTTTTGTTAAGGAGTATAGTCTCGAGCACAAGAGTTAGGAGACTTTCCTTAAATGTTTCCTTTTCAATAAATATTTGTGTGGAGACCAATGTCTGATACTATTGGTGTCACATCATAAGCTAACCTAGTTGGCATCCTTATTCCACCAAATTATTTAAGAAATAAGAAACCTGCAAAATATTGACACCAGATATTCCTTTTATAATATATTACAGGTATTATGGCCTCAAGTAAAGTCATTATTCCCCTGAGTCTGGTAATATGTACGCATAGAGCCTGTTGAATTACACTTTGAGGATGATTACTGCTAATTACTGGACAGTGGTGTTGTGATATGTATATGTACCAGGTTGTGTGGTCACTTTGTTTTCAGCTGTCTATACTGGTATCTACAGCAGCTTTATTGATTTTATTTGGAATCCACCCATTATTCAAGATACACAGATCTAGACCAATATAACAAGTACAAGCTGGATTCTGGCATATATAGCTACCACACTGATTTTTTTGCTCAGTTTAACAGTCGAATACAGGCTGTTTACCCTAGCTAAAAAGTGAGTTATTTTCCCAAAATGACCAAAAACTGAAGAATATATTCTCAATTTCAGTACAAATAGGAACTGGTAGTTAAATGTAGGTAACAAAAACACTACCACAATATAAGAGATACAACAGTACATAAACTAATACTGGTAATGATTATAATCCAGTATAAACTCGATTTCACTTCTATCAGTAAAAACAGAATTTACATACTGTGCTATAACATATTGTTTACATAACCCTCACTTTTGTTTTAACTAGACACAGGACATACTGAAAATAAACATGACGAAGTCATAAACTGAAAGTTACCAAAATAACATATTAGTCATCTTTGTACTACATGGTTTATCAGTAATGTCTAGGTAGCTGGATAGACGAAAAGTATATCTGCTGGTATAAATCATTTCACATGCAGATTACTCAGCATGGCTATAATTATTTATGAATGTGTTTAGATTCATTTTAAATTTTCTTTAAACATAACATGCATGCCACATCCTTAAACTGTACAAGTTGATAGGACATTAAACAAAATAAAACCCCAAACCGAATAACATGCATGTCACATCCTTAAACTGTACAAGTTGATAGGACATTAAACAAAATAAAACCCCAAACCAAATAACATGCCCCTTCATATGTTTATTTATTTGCCCACTCCTGTGAGCACTTCCCTGACCCTTTGTCTATCCCACTCCCCTAGACTGTTCCTCGGGACAACTTTCCTGGTTTCCTTCCTTGAGGCATGTCCCATGCATTTAGACTTGCTTTCAGTATAAAGGAAGATTGTACACTATGTTTTAGTTGAGTGTGACACTTGTATAATAAGTTATATACACATGAGAACAATTGACATGAAATACTTGTACATTTCTATAATTACATGTATATCTCATTACAACCATGGCATGCACTAAATACATCTTTTCCATATTTTTGTGTATTGCCTCATATTACTGATTGTGATGTAAGAAATAAGAAAATGGACATGACATGACATCATGACATTGAATGTCATATATATATATATAGAAGATAGATGATATATAATGTTAAGACACAGATGTTGAAGACCAGGTGGTATCAGAGAAAACATATTTTTAATGAATAATTATATACATTCCTTATAAATGTGATCAGAAAACATATATTGGAAGTATTTCAATTGCATATGAAAGTATATGCATGCAATCAAACTCTACAAAGTTTTGATTTAACTTGACAGAGCCTCATAACACTTAAAATGAAAACTGCTTAGAATCATTTGATTATTCTCCTTGGCCTATATGGAATGGAAAGTCAGCTCAGAACCTATATAAACACAATAATTAAATTACATTTAGTTAATGTATATATATATCTTATATAATGTATATATATCTTATATAATGTATAGGTCAAAGAAGTAATATAGACAGTATATATAATGTATATATATAATGTATATATATATCTTATATAATGTATAGGTCAAAGAAGTAATATAGACAGTATATATAATGTATATATATACATGTCCAAATTATTGTATGATATCCTTCAATATTAAACAATAGAGGGAAACAAATATACAATAGCAGTGAATTTGTAGCAAGGACTATATATAGGTAAATGGCCCAGAGTGAACTCTTCGAGGAGAGTCCAGTGCACCAGATTTACCAGTTTGGCTGTTATCCAGCATCTGTAACAAAGGATACAATAGACCCTCTAGCAGTAAATAGTTAACAGTGATGCTGGTAACAAAGGAATTGTTATATAACAAACTCTGCTATATATATCCTTATCAATTGTTCTCATAACAAAGGAAGTCAATTAAATCTCGCTGATAAAGGTTGTAATACATGTACATATAAAATTAATACATTCATGGCTCAAACTATATTCTGAAACTCTTTTTAAACAAACTTTTTTTTCATAGATAGGTTTACATGCATAAGTGCACAATGTAGCTAGCTTTTGTGGAATGAAACTAACATTTACCTAGTAACAAAAACGTTAATATAGCTACATGGAGATTATTGTATGTTATGTGAGAAAGAGGTGTTCAAGTGTAAGTGTTTCCCCCTGGGTTAGATAAGGAAATTAAATGACTTTATAATTATTGCATATCAGAAATAGATACACATGTATATCAATGCAGGAAATCACTATAGAGGTATTAGACAATGAACCACAGCAGGTGAATGTTCTCAAAAGGTCGTAGCTCTGCAATGCCTCTCTCTGCTGTGTTTGTTGATTACTTTATAGACTGTGTACTGGGATCACCTATATAACATCCATTATGTATGAAGGTATACCTAGCCTATACACAACATACCAGGTGTATATATACTGTCTGTGGGAAACATTGATCAGTAGAAGTTATATTTACTGCAGTATTGACACAGCAGCCGTAGCTGTAGATTGACAGGTAGATTGACCACCGATAGTTTTAGGACATGTAGGTTAACTTTCAACTGTATGGTAGCTCTAGATCTACCAGTTATTACTGTGTATCTATAGGGATCATATAAAGCACTACGGAATAGATTTGAAGACTTTCCCTCGCAAATTGTTATACAATGCATCTAGGTTAGTGTTCTGCTAAATGTTAACAGCTATGTGTAAGTTACCAGGTGTATACTTGTCAGTGTTCTCCCCAGGCTGTTTTTGCAGCCTGGCACCATGCTCCTATAATTTCTTGCCATGCTGCTATCCTAGGTCTTCTCTGCTATATATTCATAGTGAATTTAAAGTAACCATGCTGCTTTGATTTTACATAGAGTGCTTGTATCATTTACTTATATGAAACTTCATTGATTAAAATTTTACAGAAATATTTCAAAAGATCATAATATATTGTATAACTTCATACATTTATTTGTTACAACCCCCACCCAACTTACACAACTGATACTGGAATTGGGTTGTCTGTCATTGAATAATTCTGCTGTTTGGAGATCCTCGTGTTAGCTAGGGAAATATATAATTTTACATGTACAAACATAGTTGTGTAATTAAGCCACATCCGCACATGAAGACATTCAATCATACATATTTGCAAGCTGAAGTCATTAAGAGCAACACATAAAGCTATATGTATCATGATAACAC